CCCTTCCTAGTCAAGCTGAGATTCCTTCAGAAGGCACTTGATGATTTTAGACAACCCTTGAGCAGCCCAGCTAAGCACTGGGAACAGTGGGCAGGGGTGGTCACCGCTGCTGCTAGAGCTGGAGGGGATTTGCCATGATTTTCGGGCCTCCCTCCTCAGCTCATCAGATCCCACAAGCCCCCACCAATCCCAAAAGACCCCAGAAAGTTCCAGCCTTCCCACCGGTCCTGTGTCCGGGACAGGGATCTTTTCACTCAGGTAGGTGTCTTCGGGAGGCACTTGCTGGGACTCTGAGCTGGGTGGGCTGGAGATGGAGCCATAATTGGGCCTGCTCAGCCTCTGGGGCTCCCTGTCACCTGAAGAGAGGTGAGATGGTGAGTGATTAGCCTCTTTCTGTTGGCTCAGGGTAAAGCCTTCCTCCCTCGCCTTCTCCTGACAAAGTGGAGGAACAAAGGCTGCCCTCCCAGCAGGGGAGAAGTGGGACCCTCAGAATGATCCCCTTCCACCCAAATCTCTCTTGCCCCAGAGAGTGAGGAGAGAGACTCTGGCCGTAAGGAGGGCCAACTGGTTCTACCACTTCCCCGCCCTTGCCTCAATCTGCTTCCTCTAGCAGCAGAGGAAACTCCAGGGATTCAGGCCCCGAGATCAGACAAGGGGATGCTGTGCCTGGTGAGTGGCCAGCCTTGCAGTCCAGGGATTCCCTTTGTCCCCCGACTGTCCTCCCTCCCCCGCCCACTCAGGCTCTGTTCCTGAAAGTGGCTACTTACCCGCCATGAGGGCGCTGGCTCAGGCCCTCTCTCTGTGGGTACGATGTCCTGGGTCCATGTGTGGGTGCTGATGTGTGAGTGCTGCCTCACACCATCTCACCAGCCTCAACTGAGCTTGCCTGTTTTCATACACATGGGTGTTTTGAAATACTTCCCAAATGCAGAAGTGGCCAGTCCGAGCGGAAGGGTCTGGTGCCATAGTAGAAACTTTTGTTCCTCTCTTGGCCTGACCTATGCCCCACAATACCTTTGGCCCCTTTCCAGGCCATGTTCCAAGTCTCCCAAATTAGCTCTGATTTCAAACACTTCCTGCCTCTGGGGTGTTCATGTCCAGATCTCATTACTGTGCCTCCCTCCCAGTCTCCATCCACATAGGGTCTGGCCCTTCTTCAATGTGGAGTCCTGTGGCCACTGGTTGGTGGAGTGGGAGGGAAGGAGTCATGAAGACTGGTTTCCCATGGAGTAGCTTGGGAAAAGGCCTGCTGGGTTCTGCCATGGAGACATGCACTGAAGATTCAGGCCAAGGACATCCTTAAAGAAAGTGGCACCCGGGGCCCTCCCTGGTGGTACAACAGGTAAGGACACAGCACTGCAAGCCGGCCGCAGTTTCTTCAGTGTGATTTTGATCCCCAGACCCGGAGGTGACCCACATGGCGTGGCTGATCTCCCCTGACCCGCCCACTGCCCCCCTCAGCAGTGAACCTCGTCCGTCTGCCTATTCTGCTCCCCACTCTGTCTCTGGTGAATCCTCTCACTGCTCCTGTATCTTTGGCTTGTACCCCAGTTCTGTATGCATAAATAAATAAATCTTTAAAAAAAAGAAAAAAGAGTTAAAGAGCTTCTGTACAGCAAAAGAGACATTACAAAAAACAGACAGCCCATTAATTTTCTCACACAAAAGTAGTGATAAAGGACTGATCACAAAAACATACGGAGAACTGATGAAACTCAACAAAAATAAAGTTAACAACCCCATCAAAAAATGGGCAGAAGAGCTAAAAAGACACTTCTACAAAGAGGAAATGCA